ACGCTCCGGGGTATCGCTTCTAAAATCCCGGGAGACACCCCTCGCCGGCACCCAGGGTCACCCCGGCAGCGGGAGGCCAAGGGAAACCCCTTAGCGGGTGCCAGGACTGGGGATCCCCCGGAGGTTGGGGCAGCCGGGTGGTACCCACCGGGAGCGGGATCCCAAAGGATGCTCCAGCACAACGCCCTGGTGCAGGCTCTGGGACTGGGTTCCCAAAGGACACCCTGTTTCTGGCACCCAGGTTGCACCCCAGGACCAGAATCCCAAAGGATGCCCCAGCCCCGGTGCCAGGACCAGGATCGCAAAGGCTGCCCCATCCCACACAACCAGCCTGGAAATCCTCTTAGGATCAGCTCCAGCTCCATGCAGGATTCCCAGAGGGAGCCTTGCAGGCTGCATCACACAGGCCGAAGTGATTATTTCTGCCGTAAAACGCCCCAAACCCTGTGATATTCAGCGCCAGAGCCATGCAGGCATCGCACTTTGCTCTTCTGCCTTCGGGACGGTGCAACAGGGCCGTGCGCTGGCAGCGAGCGGTTCCCAACAACGGCCGTGGGATCCCGTCCGGATCCAAAACCGCCCCCGAGATGGGGATTGAAGAGGAAATAAATAAGGGAAAAAAAAAAAAAATCTGCCTGGAAGCAGATGTTGCAGCTTGGGGGTCACGGCTTCCTCCGAAACAGCACTCAGCCTCCAGCCTCCGCTCCCAGGCTGTGGGTCCCATCCTGCCCGTGCACCCCGTGGCGCTGTGGGGAGGCTTTGGTGGAGTGCAGAGTTATTAAGTATTCCAGAAGAGCAGCAGCGTGCGGCCACGTCCCCTCTGCCTTTGTCTGCTCCTGACCTTTCCCAGTGCTTTGTGGCTTCTCCAGGGCTTTTTTTTTTTCTTTTTGAGGAATTTGCCTAGAAACAGCCCACATGGAGGGGAAAAAAAAAAAGAAAAGAAAACCCCAAAAAACAAAACCAAAGAAATAATCTAACCAGCTGGTTTAGCAAAACAAGGAAATCTTTACAACCACGGATTGTAATCAGCCCCCCCCCCTTTTTTTTTCTCTTTTCTTTTTATTTTTTTATTTGTATGTAAAATATGAGAAGTTCAGGCGTAGCCATCTGGCTTGGGGAAACACTGACTCGGCAAAAGCGAGCGGGGAGGGGGGTTAGTATTTATATTCCAGCTTCTACCATCCCTGCCAGCCTGTGGGGCGGATGCAGTCGGAGCAAAAGGGAACAGAAAAAAAAAAAAAGAAAAAAAAAATAGAGGGGTTTGCTGTGGGCGCCTGCGCGAGCACAAAGAGGAACTCGGTTGCAGGATTTGGGCTAAATCCTCATTTTGCAACATCCTGCTCGGTGGGTTGGGAGGGATTGAGCCTGGATCAAGGCATTTATTTACCAAATCAAGGATTTTACCTGTTCCTGCAAGCTGTGAGGCCAGGGCAGGCTGCCGGCTCCTCCTTACCCGCACTGCAGCCGTGAGCACGAACCCAAGAGGAACCAAGCCCACACAGAAGGAACCCAAAACTTCTGCCCCGATGTGGCCCCGCCAGCTCCTGTGAGCTCGAGCATCCCTCGCGGCTGCCAAACATCTCCCAGGAAAAGGATGCTCTGAGGTCCAAGCCTGCGTTTTGCCACACAGGGATGTTACGGCACCTGTTTTGCAGGTTAAATCGGCGTTTCTGTGCTAAATGCCACCGAGGGAATGTGGTTGACAGCTTTTAAATCGTTGGCTTTGATGGATTTACTTCCATTTCCGCTCCCATAGCTGACTATAGCTGAGCCTGGAGGTCCAGGACCGCAGTCAGACCCAAGCACAAAGCACCAGCTCCAAAATTCTCCAAAATTCAAGTATTTCCCCTCTGGCAGCTTACTGTTATTTCAACGTTAAGACCCCCCAAGCTGATTGTCAGCAAATACCAAGCAACGTTGCGCATGTGGGTACACGTTAGCCCAGGAGCATCTGTCAGCCGTTACGCAGCCTCCGGGAGCCAGATGGGAAGAGACGTGGCCCTGGGGAAGGCGTTCGCTCATACCGAATAACGCGTTCCTTCGAAACACGGTCACTGGCCCCGTTTGAGGATGTTTGTGTCTTTCTGAAAATCCTCTGGTTTTGAGATTCTGCCTGGGGTAAAGCCCTTCTTACTGGGTCGACGCAGCTGATGCTGCGTTTTGATTCGGGCAAGACACAAGGAGAAAACTCAATGATTTCCAGAGCTCTGACCCTGGAGCACAAAGGATTAATCAGGATTAAGTTCAGAGCCGGTCTCATCATGGACCCAAACCCAGCCTGGCTCAGGGAAGATGAGCCCTGGTCAAACAGCTGCTCCTCCAGCTTTGATACCAGATCTACTTTCACCCCCTCTCGCTGCCGATTTAGTCATTTTTTGCCTTTTTCTTCCCATCTGACTTTTTTGGATGAGTCGCGGTGGGCTACACCTAAGTTAAGGCACTTGGGTGCCTCTGGGCACGCAGCAGCCCTGACACGGGGCCCTGGAGGCTTTGCTTTGGCTACTGATTGCCAAAGGGAGGGCCAGGATTTAGACAAATTCCCAGTTCCAAGGCTTTACCCTAAACCAGAGGTTATTTCTCTGCTGGTAACTCTTGCTGCTCGTGTTCTTAACCGCACAGAGTAACCAAAGCCTCTGCTCAGTGGAAGTGACCAAGAGAACTTGCAGGTTGGCCTTTTATTTTAATTAGGAAATTAATTGCGTAAGTTTTGCTGCATGGACATTGCCCAGCAGCACATCGGTGCTGAGCGTGCAATTGCTTTTACGGGGAATTTTGCTGCCCCGTGGCCGCCCAAGAGGTTGGGAGCTGCGAGGGGAGAGGGGCACGGAGTCCCCACGCCGCAGCCGGCAGCTCCTCGGGGCGGATCTCGGAGATGCCCCAACCGAAAGCAGGGACAGACAGCAAATAAAGATATACAGACAGCAAGCACGGCCTCTTCCAAATAAACCAAGGAAATTTAATGCACCTCCATGGTCCGAGCTGTGGGCGAGAGCTGGAAGGGTCAGGAAGGCACCTGGGGGTTGTATTTTTGGGTGGCACTTGCTACAAGAGATGCTTGGTCTTCCCATCACCTGGGTTCCCCAAACACCGATCCTGCTTCAAAGGGGATGCTTAAAATGAAGCGTAACACCACACTGCCAAGTTGCATCTATGCCCGCGTTTATTTATACTGAACAGCTTTAAAAATACAGAATAAAATAGCTTTATCTACTATTATTCACAACATCTGGTCCAAATATTACATTTTTAAATATTTAATTGTTTAATGAAGCAATGTTAGAAAAAAAATACGAAATAAAAAATAACCTCCATAAAAGAATTACACATCTCGGAACAAAACAAAACAAACCCCCCCAAAACGAAACAAACAAAAAAAAACACAAACCACCTCTTGCTGTTTAACGAAAAGGTTTTACAGCCAAAGTCAGTCACAAAAAGTCATGAAAAAAAATAATATTTATCCCCACTGCCTAAGAACAGTCAATAGTTTGTTACGCCAAAGGTTGTTATAAACAGACAAAAGTACGATAATTTGGACTGGCAGCAAGATGATTTACCTGGAAAGATGTAGTCGATGCCAGATAGTACACAAGGCAAATCTAAATACCTCTCTCATATCAATATGTACGGATGACAACGCACGGTCACAGTCAACTCAGAACTAGACAGGAATATTTTGGATGGCTCTGAACACGGATCCCCAATACTTAAAAGCAGCCCAGCACGAAGCTGTACGGACTCATGGGCAGAAGCGAAACACCGGGCGAACTCGTGGCCTCCTCCAATACTGCAATGCCCTATCGCGGCTGCAGGAACACGAGAGCGCAGAGTACCTGTCGTCCCACGGCCAAAAAGGCCGTCAGCCTTGAGAAATACTAAGAGACATGCACCAAAGCGGGACATTTTCTGCAAAAAAATGAGTGACTCGCCGCTCCCCCCCCCCTTAAAATAAAATTAAAAAAAAAAAAAAGACAAAAAAAGTCGCTTTTGGTTTACAAAGGCCACGTAAAAGAAACCCCGTAGGTTGTGCTGGTCTGTCACACATGCATTTTCTACATCGACACACAAATTACGTTAAGCACGGGTTGGTTTAGGTTGCGTGTAAGCATCCAGCGGCTCGCTCAAACCATTAGAAGCCGGCTGTTGTAACCCATGTGTGCCTGGAGTGCTGCTTATACCACAAACGATGCGGTTTCCGCCGCTTTTTATGAAGGATGCGATGCTATAAATGACCGCTCGCACCCACTAACGCTCCTGGTGGTATAAATAGTACTGAGGATTGCAGTCTGCAAGCGCCACCTCTGCATCGGGAGTACCGAGATCTCAGTAGGGAGATGAACAATAAAGAAACCCTTTAGTTTTTGGTAGGAACATAAACATGGGTAAATAAAGTATACACAACTACTATAGATTCGTCAATGAAGAAATTCTACCATCACATGACATTGTCATGACAATCATACCACTCCCTCCCAGGAAAACGGCGATCGTTGTCCTGAGCGGAAATGTTATTTTTAATATATGGAAATAAAATACTGCAATATTCATGTACAAACCAAGTTGCCATATTTAAAAGTCAGTACGAAAAGGCATAAAGCAAATTCTGGGTTTAAAGTTTGAACTTTCTGAGCGAGGTACCTGATTCGGTTCCTCCGCCAACGCGCTCTAATATGACAACATTAATCAGTCATAGCTGTTAGCTATGAAACCTAAATTTCTATAGGTATAATTTGCAAGTATTTGCTTTAGAAAACGTGTTTCAACATGTTAGCAAGAATTCTTAATTTAACCTAAAAAAAAATAATAATACAATAGAATATCAATTACAAAAGTTCCAAGTTATTTTGTTTTGCATACACTGATACCATCCTTGATATGACAAAATGAGATTTCTACCATGAATATTTGCCCTTCCGTCTTAAAAGTTTGGTTGAAACATCTCATCGCCTCTTAACTCGCCTCTCGGGTGTCGTCTTCCCTACGTGGTTTTGTTTAGTTTCACCGTCTGAAAGGCAGGCAGTAACATACAGAGAAAAAAAATACAGTATTGCGTTTACAGTCAGATTTCTACACCCAGCCACCCTTACGCATCAAAGCCTGGACGTCACCGGCAAACGGGAAGCTTAAACACTTTTCCAAACCACACGTTAATGCTCTGCGACGCATCTGCACGGCAGCCCCGGCTGCGCACCGTGCATCCCCCGGCCAGGGCATTTCACCACAGCCACTAAAAACCCCCGTGTAGAAAAGATTTTAAGGTCCACAATCGCCCCGCCGCAACTGCACAAAACCGGGGACGATTCCGAGTTATTTCCCTCGCAAAGAAAACCAACGCCATCTTCTTCGAGTGGCGGCTCCGGGATGGTTTCGGACGCTCTGGAAAGGGAAAGGGAAGCTTCTCTTTCCAAGGCACCTGCGTCCTTTGCTCACCTCTCAGCCCTGGGGAGACGCACGCTGTAACAGCAATATCCCGGGTGCAGCAGCAAGGTATTGCCAATGACTCCATCCTAACCCCTCGCTACGCATTACAGGTGCTTCAGCGGATCGCCTTTGCAAAACCGAGGCTCATCGTTAACCACTCGTGCTCGTAATACGATGGATAGAGTTGTTACGTATACAGATTTGGTTACAAAAACGACTGCTCGCTACAACTACTTATTTTAGTGTTAACCAAGGTTAAGTGGCTTAGAAAAGCAAACATGCCGGCTGAATGCTACCGCGCTTCTCTCGGCCAGGCAACAGAATGGGCACGGTAGGACCCAAAGTCACGGAAAGAATTAAACCCAACACTTAAACAGAGTCATCGGACTTCACCCGTTCAACAGCTGCGAGGAAGGAGTGGTGTTCTGCTCCAGGGAGAAGAAAAAAAAATATCCTTGGATTGACTGCCTTGTGACCTGACTGAAGCGTCTTGGCAATTCTCAAGTGAAGGCAGTACAGAACACGCACAGCGTTACTTCAGCCAAAGGGGAGAGAAGACAAATGCTGTTTCTCATCGCCTCGTCTCTTGACTGCGTAAGCATTGAAGTTATCAAGAGAACATTTGGGGGGAGAAGTTAGCAAAGCCTCGGGACACATGTGGCACTGCCGCGCTCCGCACCCAGCAGCATTGCTGGACTCGACATTTCTGTATTTCCGAGGTGGCACCAATTTATTTAAAATTATTTTTAAAAAAAAACCCCTCTTGCCTTCCTTTCTCATCGTTTACAAGATAACCACCTTTGGCATTTTACATCATTACAGCCACCATACACAGGTGGCTGGTTTTTTTTTTTCCTTATATATATATATCTATCTATTTATCTCCCCCATGTCTTTGGTTGCACATAAAGTTGGGAAATTTGGAAGCTTTGTGCCACTGAGTAGAGGTCTCCGCACTCAAACTATCTGCAAGTGGATGTGGAAATATAACGCCTAACTACCTGAAGAGGAAAAATTTAACAAATGGTAAAAAGGACAAAAATTACTTTGTTTCACAGGCAAACTAACCTTGTCTACTACACAGTAACTCTTCCGACCAGCTTTCGAGATAGTCCAATTGACACCAAGACTGCAAACTACTGAAAGTTCCCTGAAGCAGGAACAAATACATGCTTTGTTATGGAAAAAAAGCGGTATAAAATAGTTTCTGGAAACAGCCATGGCATGCTGAGAACGCTATCAATGGAATCATTCCGACTCTACACTATTCAGTACTGATCCGTTAAGCTCTTTCCTTGCCCTCCCCACCCCAACCCTTCCATGCTTCAATAACCAAGAACAAATTCACCTGGAAGTAAACTCAGAGAAAACAGAGTTCCTGCGCTCCTGTCCAGTAGTCAAACTTTGATAAATATATTAGTGAATTACAGGATCTACTGTCAATGTTTTTTCCAGGAATACAAAACGCAAGCACCGTAGAGCATACTGGCCTTGAAATTACATTACACTACATTTCCCTGATGATCTCCACAGCTTAAAAATGCTTTTGGGGCCACACTGAAGTCTAAAACTAACTTGCAATAGTAAGAACATTAAACATGAATAAAACTTTTAATTATGAATGCATGATGAGCATGAACACCCACATAACATCAGAGCTGAGACTATTCCAGGGAAAAAAAAAAAAAAAAAAAAAAAAAAAAAATCTGAATGGTGCCCTGATCGGACCCAATACCCGTTAAACCATCCAGCGGATGAGGACATCAAATGTAGTGTCTCTGCCGTTCAAGATCACCTCTGGAGCAGTAACGAGCTTTTGCAGAAGCCCCACAAAGAGAGAAGAAGAAGAGGCAATGAGACGTAAGCTGCTCGTAGGCAGCAGCAGCTCTCGATATCAGACCAAGAAAATTCTGCACGGATCCAAACCAGCAAAGGCCGGCAGCGTTTTGACCGAATGCTGGCGGTGTTTTGACCGCCTGGCTTTCCTTGCAGGAAAAGCTGTGTGTATACAGATGTTAATGGCTTAGGCAACAAATTAGCATTTTTTTTCTGCCAATGTCTTGCTGGGTACAGGCGTTGCACTGTAAAAACTGTTACCAGGTCCCATTTGGAAATTAAAAGTTTCCCACCTCTGTAAAACTGAAGCTACGTGCATCCCTCTAAAGAAAATCTGCGCCTGGATGCTGGAATTGGGTGGTTTAATGCCAGGCAGAAAAGGCAACCTTTAAAAACGTGAACTGACACAAAATGAGTGGTTCCTTCCACAGCACTAAGTTATCAGAAGTCGGTCATAGCTTTCGACGGCAAAGTTATTACAGAAACTTTCTGTCTTAACACAGGACACCTGACTTGAACTATCGGTAAGTCAAAAAAAATACTCTCATGATTTGCTAAGTCTGGTTTCCAGGGGGCTGAAAATATGGAATGTGCAAATCAGTGAGTAGAGAACAATGTATCTGAAGATTTGACATGACTAGAAGGAAATTTTTTTCCCTCCCCCACCTTCTCACAGGATTCAAATTTTCTGGCGTAACTAACATTGCCAGCAATGAACGCGCCAAAAATGCCAGCGTCAACGACTTAAATAAAATAATCATAAAAGTGAACATTTTTCAATAGCACCTACGTACTTGCGGAACCTAAGCCCCATTTAAAATAAACAGACTTAGATGCACAGGTACCTATAGCTTTTGAAAATCAAACTGGGGAGCATTTGTGAATTTGACCCAGAGACACTAGATCTGGCTACCACCACCCACAACAGGAAAGCTTTTTTTTTTTTTTTTTTTTTTTTTTTTTTTTGTTAAATCCGTCTCAGCTCTGGTTCCAGAATTTAAATGCAGATATACAAAACATATATTTTAATGCTTCTTAATCAGCAAGAAACTGCAAATACATCTTTTACTACAACTAGATAATATCATTTCAACTAAGGCTATACTGTAGCTTCTGAGTCTTCGTCTGAACTCCTGCAGTTACTGCTTTTCCTGAAGCCTTTCCATGTGTAACCCACAAAGGTAGGGCTGATGGGCAGGAAGCTGAAACACCTGTATTTTTTAATAAAGTTCATGCCAAAAGGCAAATCATATGTTTCCATGCCATCCAGTGACTTGCTTCCTTTACCAACCCCCTTCTTCCATTTTCGTATTCCCCTTTCTTCAGGGCTTCCTAGAAGTCAAATTAAAAAAAAAGGAAAAAAAAAATATATATATATATACATGAATATCTTTATGCAAACAGACACATATATATATAGTAAAGGTTAAGAGAAGAAAGAACACCCCGAGTCTCAGACACCACGTCCAGCAAAGCACTGGAAAGATCTTTCAGACTCCTCAAAGAGGCAGGAAGAGGGGAAAAAAAATGTTTATTGGAAACGGCTATTATCTGTTTTATTTTGTAACTGGAAGTTGAGGCAAATTTTTGCTCTTAAATGAACGGAAGCAACTTTGGATCTTAAAATATTTTGACTCTGTCTCCGGGAGAAGACTACTGTGGTTTGATTTTTATCAGCTATTTTGTATGTTTAATAGGATGGAGACTATAGCTTGAAAAAGATTCAAAGCGTTCTCAAGGAAACTGAGGCACGCAGGTGTTAAGCAGTCTGCTCTAGGTGTTAGAGAAGTCAACAACACCAGCAGTAAACTCTTCCTCATCTCCTGCCTCTATGAAACGCTGTGCTACCTTTATTCAGAAAGGCAGTTCTTATTTGAGATAAAATGACAAGTTCACGTGCTGACCTGGAATGGTATTATCCAAAATAAATGCAACGCAGCCACCAACAAACATAGCTGTAGTGAGAAGAACGTTTAATACTTGATCAATGCCCGCTATTCCTAGAAGAACAGGGAAAAAAAATATTAAGGATTTGAATTTTTATCGTACACATACACATCCTACTGATTGAACACGCCTGTCAACTGGGAAAACTTGCTATTGAGTTCACTGAGGAATTTAGGACACATAGGACTCTTAAACCCACGTGGGAATAGATGCAGAAGAACCTTCAGCTAATGTAGCAAACCACAGGGACCCCTTCTTTCCCAAAACGCAACTCCACGAACTTTCAGTTGCTTATAAAAATGTCACGCATTGCCATTTGAGTTTCTACTGCAGACACAACTGCTTAATTTAAACTAAATAGAAAACTACAAAGAGAAACATCCATAGTGTAAAATCATGTGGACTGAAAGAATTCCTTTTATAAACCCTGACTTTTTAAAAGGGCAAGACTTAATAGTACCAATTCACAGAACATTGTTTTAAGGCATCACCACGTAACTCTGCTTGAATGATCTACTTTTCTGAACAACTCAGTGGGTTAGATACGCTCTTAAATCTGGTTCTGAAGCGATAGCTATAAAACCAGTTAGTTAATCTTTCCTTTGTAAAGAAAAAAAATCAAGTTAGGTATTCCTGTAGAGCATTCCTTTGATGACACACACTGCCATGACCACTACTGAGTAGTATTAATATAGAAAACCTTCTCCATGAATTCACCAAAACTATATATGGCTAACAGTCCGAAACCAAATTCATTAAAATTCAGATTCAGAACAAGTTTGCAGTGATAAAAAATTTCAAAACCCACAACAAATTCCTAGCTTCCGTGCTCTACCTTGGTGTTTCTCCTTGGTCTTTTAACATCATTTACAACTTGGATTCACCCTTTTAGTCTTTCTTCCAGTCCAACTGGCAATCGCCTCCTTCCACTGCTCTACAATTGTACCCTGAGAAAGCAGGACAACTTCAGATGTATCCCACTGAAACGTTCAATTCGGGTCTCAACATCTTGATTAATTCTCCTCTGAACATATCTGTCTTACCTATAGCTTTTACTGTCTCCACAATACTTGGGTTTTTTTTTCTCTTGTTTACCCTTTACATTACTTTGTACTTGTATGTACTTTGCATATGAGTACAAGGTAAAAGTATGCGTCATGCAAATGAGCAGAAACACATACCTGTCACCAGTGGATTTTGTTTGAGATAGCTCGGAAGGACAAGTCCAAAGAAAATGGAAAATCCAAGTACAAACAGGTTACGTGAAGAATTTAAATCTATGAACTGGAGGTTAGACAGACCCACGGCTGTAATCATCCCTAAATAAAAATAAAACAAGTCTCAGCTTTTATAATGCTTTTTCCTTCAAAAGAAAAAAAAAAAAAAGAAAAAAGAAAAAAGATAGCAACATGCATATAAACACAGCACCAGAGTAAAAAAATACAGCCACACAGGGCACAAAGAGGAGCAAAACCCCATACGTTACCGAAGAGAGTGCAGAAGAGGGCCCCAAGCACAGGGTCAGGCAGCGATGCAAAGAGCGCGCTGAACTTGCCGACCATCCCAAGCAAGAGCATGAAGGCTGCCCCGTACTGAATAACCCTGCGACTTCCGACCTGCGGGAGACAAAAAGGCAAGGACACTGGAAAAAGTCCGGATTTAGTCCAACTTCATGCCTTGCATTTTATTTTGTTATTCTCTTTTGCATTTAAGACCTCTTTTCAAGCTTCCATGTGTGGTTTTTTGTGGTGTTAAAACAGAGGCTGCAGAGCCTTTACAAATGTCTTGGAGGGCTCAGCTGTAACATGGCTGCACTCCAATTCTAACCTAACTTTGATTTTGTTTTCTTAAACATTAAGTCTGCGTAAGTGCTACAGCCACAATAACCATAAAATGTGGTGTGGTCCTATCTACAGTAAAGAAATCAAATAGACCATAACCAGGAGAGATGGCAAACAGATCAACTGTAATGCAAATGAAAAAAAAAGATTAAAATCCACGTGTTGCTGCCCTTTTACACAAGAATATATGTATTAGTTACCTACCATGCAGTTTACTTGAAGGAGATGCAGGCTTTCTAGACAGATTATCAACTGACTTTATAACATCCCTCTGAGATCTGAACCGAATTCACTCCATATGCAAATTATGGCTGTGCTAACACCATGAAACCAAGTGCCTGCACTTCCTTCCCATTTTTATTTTAAGCATTCAAACTTCAGGGCAGTATTTCTCTGGCACTGTGTCGCAGTGGTAGTTGATAAAGCTGAACATTCAATATTTTAATAGTGTTATACTTGCATAACAGGCGCACGGGGTACAAAAAACCCCGTTACGCTGGTAAGGTGGTGTCTAGCAAAGCCCTTTGTGGGTGTCCTGTTACAGAGGGTTAAGCTTCAAAGAGAGGTGGATATTAATTTGTTAATCACATGTGACTGAGCTAGATGAGCAAAATGAGGAAAAAAAGATACAGTAGGCACGTTTAGGGTAACAGGACTTCTTTCCCCCATATTCTTCACTGCTTAACTGTTAGGTGAGATGTGTTCACCTTCAAACAGAAGCCAGACCAGTAAATTAGGGTGGTCACTAGGAGTTACAACAGAAGCTAGCCTGTACCTTTCTCTATTTTTTATAAAGATAATAATTTCCTTAAGACCATCAACATCTTGCTCTAAAATTATCTTCCTGCATGAAATAAGCAGATTCTTTAAAAAACCCACACGACAGCAACGTTTATTTAGGCAAATGCTTGATCACTCTAAGGCAAACAAATTAAGCTCCTTTTGAAAGCTACTGAAAGCATCCTGGTCAGCATTTAGCTCAAACTAGATATTTATTCCCAGGCACTCGTACACACACTTTATGTGATTATTTTGGAGTACATGATATGGTACCTAGTGCCTTACTGGAGTATCCATTTCATCACCAACATTATGGCATAACCTGCCTATACTTTTGCCCCAATTAATTAGATTTAATTGATTCTCCTCTCATCAACTCGCTCACAGACTAGCTCAAAGATTTTGCAGTATTTCCATCCAGTTGAAGCCTCACATTTAAATTCTAAGCGTAATCATAAACTGATTTCAAGGGAGGTAAATGCCTTTTCCAATGTTGCGCTTGGATCACCAGGACTATGTAGTCTTTACTCCGGAGCACGAAAGATTTCTTCTCCCAAATAAACAGCAGAGTATCTACATGCCAAAAATCTACTGTGATATAAATTGAAGTTGAAAAACTCCTAGGTTTTTAGGAATGAGTATGCAGACAGGAAAACAAGACAAAACACTGGAGCGCAGCCATCCAGCTGCGCCATTCTGGGTAAGGCATATTCACTCTTCCATCACGCGCTCTCAACAGACCTAACTGTAGTTAACTCTGTTCTCTGTAACAGCTGCCAGTTGAACATTCATTTTTTGCTGTTCCAAAGCAAAATGTACACTCATTTCTGTGGACTGTTAATAAAAAAAGTGCTGTTAATTCATATCAACTCCCATGAAGTAACAACAGAAAGGAAGCAGAACAGAATAAACTTCTCTTTAAGGATTTTTCTAACCAAAAATTCTTCTAGGAAATTTCCATCAGCAACTGAATGGAAGACTTGTACAGACAGCAGATGGTGCTATTAGTATTTATATTCCACCCTAAAACCGAACAGAATCATCCTTTGTGCAGAAAAAAAAATGGCTGAAGATAAATTCATCATCTATATTGGATTAAGTCAGAGGGATGAGTTATTGTAAGTGGAGAGCGTACATTTTCTATCTTGTACGCATGAAGGAGATTTATAGCTTCCAAGCGAAATACGCAACAAGATGTACGTATTTACAACATAAATTACTCTTACCAATTTTGTTGGTATGTCTTAACAAGGTTAAATTAACAATATCAAGCAAATCTATCTGCAGTCCAAGGTCTCCCAGTTCGGCAAGGCATTCAAGCACACATCCAGTTCCACATGTGAACAAAGGAATTCCTCAAGTGCTTATATATTTTGCTGAGTAACACCCCCAAAAAATATGTAATCCCCTAAGCATGCTCAGTGCCTTAAAAACCTATCATGATGACAACAAATATTTAGGGTACATTTAACTTTAAAGTTACCTTGACTGCAGCTCCTGTTCTAGCTGTGTCAGCGTAACGTCCTAGTACAGACGTAGATAAGGCCCAAGGACCTCAAGTTGCAATTCATTAAGTGTTCAAGTGAGACATTAAAAATAGTCAGCTCTCTAGCGATGCTTTCAGAGCCAAGACATCCAGAGGAGTACCAATTTCTATGCAGTTTACAATGGTTATGCCTCAATTCAAAACACCCTAGAGCCCTGGAATGCCTTTTTGGTTTTCAAAGGGATAGCTTATTTAGCATCATCTGCTTTATGTAGCTTTTCTAACTGCCCTTTACTCCGAATACAAGTAAGATTTTGGGGGTCCTTATCTAGAATGCATTTCCATTAGACAGTGGCTAGTACAGACAAGTTAAGTACTATGGAGTGTGGTTTTTTAGAAGAGGATCACACTGTGAAAAATGAAAACGGCATAAGGCATCTACCAGAGGAGATGAAATACTCAAGTCACTGAGCATTCAAGGTAAAGCACGTACCTTTGTGATGCCCAAGACACCAATGTTAGGGCTGGAAGAAGTGGATCCATTCCCAGTCCCAAATACCCCATCCAGAACACAGGAGAGACCCTCAATAAAAATCCCTCTGTAAATCACAAGCAGAAAACCAAAAAGTCAAACTTGTATTAGCATAGACTCCCTTCAGATGGTGCTGTATGACCGCATGCCATGTGGAGGCCTGTTAAGGCATCTGTCCCACATGAATTATTATAATGCATGCTTCAAGCTCCAACACACCTGGAAAACCAACCTGAGTTCTGTTTTCCATGTCTTAGATACCCACGTTCTTAAACTGAGGAAATCACAAAATAATTCAAGTCAAACTTAGAGCTGCTCTTTATTTCTAAAATTGCATTTCAGGTGAATTTGACAGGCTACCCTGATTCCAGAACCGATCCAGAATTCTGTCCCTACAAAACCCATACTATTTATTTCCACGGACTCCAGCATGAATAGGACTAGGTTTCCAGTGCTATATTTGCAACAAAATAATTCCGCATGACAGTTGCATCTTAAATATAAGATCCTTGGCCCTTGTGTTTGGCCAAATTGTAACATTTAAACTCAGAACACATTCCTGTCTTATCCCAAGAAAAAAAAAAAAAAAAAAGAAAGAAAAAACCCCTGTAGCTTAAGACACTGAAAAATATTTCTTTTTTTGACATACCTGTTTATCGCATGAATAGGTGGAGGAGGAGCGCAAGACAACCTGGCACAGGCATAGTAATCTCCTATGGATTCAATAATGCTAGCAACAACTGCGCTAAGCATTCCTATTACTCCAGCGGCTGAAATTGTTGGCAGTCCCCACTGAACTGTGAAGAAAAGAAAACTGAAATCTCTCATGCCACAGAAAACAATTTAGATATCAAAACACAGAGCAATTTATTCATCTTTAATGGAATCAGCAAACTCCCTTCACAGTAACACAGTCTGGCAAGTTCAAGTAGATGAAAGGAGCAAAGGAAAAACCGCCTAGCCAACTGCTTTGATCATGCTTGGAAAAAACCCAAAAGAACCCTAGACCCCACCAAAAAATTCCTCCTGTTCAGAAGGAAGGAATTTGAACTAGTGCTTGTGAAAAAACAATTCTGATCAGTGAGGCGAATGCCACTTAATTATTATTGCTCTGAAAACTCGGTCTTTGGTTACAAGTTTAGTCTACCGAAAAGAACGGCCAACAACCAGCTATGATCATCGCGCACACACCTTCCAATTCCAAATTTTGGTAGACGAGAAAATGAGATTAATTTAAGCCTGTAGAAAAGCTTGGCAGGTTTTCCACAGCAATCGCCTCGATGCTTTTATCTCTTTGAAATAGATGAGCCTCTCGCAACAAAAGGAACTTTAAGTCACACAAATGTGAATGAACAAGGCTTCAGAAATAAGAAAGGTCTAATCAGGGTGGAGAAGTCTTCCTTTTCTTCTTTCCCAAAAGCTTCTTTTATACATCTTGCAAGTACCGCTTTAGAAGTGGTTTCTTTTAAGAACTAATCAGAACCAAAGCATATGGAAAACCACAACGAAGCTGCCTCATTACAACATAGTGGTATTCCTAACAATTTCTATTATTCTATTCTAGTAGAATATTATTCTATTATTACCCCATTAATTTCTGAGCAGCAGAAGGGTGAACCAGTTGCGCAGATCTATCTCATGCTGTAAGAAACAGCCTTCGACAGCTTTAAACTTAGAGGTGGCCAGCAAAAGAAAACAAACATCCAAGACGTCATGTAAAGTGTTTTGTGTTCTCTTGTAAATACTTTCTTGTCCTTTGATAAGCATTGACCGGCATTCTCCGACTTGCCCATCGGTCCGATTCCAACGCCACTTCTGCCAGTCAGGACATTTTTGTGCGGCTGTTAAAGAATTGTGCTAATTCAAAAAAATCGGTCTGTTTAGGGCAGGGACGTGGATTAAGCTGGGAAAAACTCTGCACACTACTGATTCTTTAGACAACGAGAATCAATGACTTCAGTAGCTCTCCAGGAGTTGCAATAACCCATCCTAATTGTTGTAGAACATTAACAGCAGCTGACCACAGTATCACAAGTACAGATAAAACAACCATTCCCTGAAAATCCAGGTTATATATACAGTCACACTATGTTATTAGAAGTCAAGAGTTACCTAGATAAACCCTGCAAGTGCCTTCTACAAATTCAAGTTTCAGAGACTCAGTCATTCTTGGGTGAGATGTTAAGGTATCAAATTAAAGAAGAAAACAAGAAAAAAAACCCCATCAGCCCCACCTACACTGTCTTTAGGTCAGTGCACGGTGAAGTGCATCAGAACAGAGTACTGAGAAATGCTTCTGAAACCAACAGAAATGATACTCACAGGCATATTATTAGAAAAACAGCCCCTAAAACCAGACATACTTACAAGGATAAGGAACCTTGAACCATGGAGCTACCAACAGCACTCCTCGTCGGGCATCCGTGCGAGCGTAGAAGCCGTACTTGGAACTGTCAGGGGGAAAGACGTCTGTCACAGTGAAGATGAAGCAAAGCAACCACGACACCAAAATAGCTAAAATAATCTGTGGAAGAGGAGAAAAAAAAGCTGTTTGAAATAAACTATCATTGGCAATGATCATCAACAGCAAACAGTTCCTGCACAGAATATCTATTACACATATCCAAGTGTGATCTTAAGTGGTATTTTAAGCCTCAACAGGCAGTTACACCTGTAATAGATCCGTTAGGTGTTTCCCCCCACCCCCTGGCCCCTAACGAAGGTGCTGTTACAAAAGCTTTAGAATTAGAGCAAGCCTCTTCTCTCCCCTAACAAATGGGAAAGTCTCCAAATGGGCACTTAAACAAACCAGTGAATTAGTCTCAATTTTACCAGAGAAATAAAAAGAAGTCTTTCACATGGGGGAATGGAGTATTGCTTTCACCAAACTAGAAGATAATGATCTCGCCATCCCTTTTTGGAGGGCTCAGTTTAGGTTTTCACTGCATGCATAAACACACCTTCTTCTCTACCCCCTCCCCTCCAATGATCTTCATCACCATGATGACTCTTCATCAGATATGGATACCAGAATGGGATCTGGCAAGACTACAATATGAGACTATTTCCTGTGGCAAATAAGCCATTTCATTAAGTTTCCCGTAAGCCCATTTAAGCTTTTATCTCACCTTTGTGATCTACTGTATTATTAAGAAAAATCAAAACCAAGAAAAAAAACCTCCAACCCTAAAACACAAATTAGGGTGTTGGTTTTTTTTTTTTGCCAACTGAAGAACGAGTTCAGCTACTTACAGGGAACATCTTGAAAAGTTGCAGCCTGTATGCTGTCCATCCTTTCTTGGATTTGTAAATGGGTAAGGGAAATTTGACATTTCTGGCATACTGAGAAAACAACAGTACTAGGAAAATAGTCCTGAGAAAAAAGGAGGAGGAGGGAGGGACAAGAGACATGTCATTAGCGCCGATATGCTACAAATCCTTCTCAGCACAAACCTCTTCAGGCTCTTCTGACACAGAACATAAATGTGTATTTTAAATTTAGCACAAGGCAAAGCATCAGAAGAGAATATATTTTAAATAAATTATTATTCCACAAAAGCCAAACCAACATTAATTTGTATTCTAACATGCTGCAACAACAGCCAGCAGCAAACAGGTAAATGAAACCAGGAAAATGAACCAGACTAGAATGAGATCTTCAGAGCTAAGGAGCCGTTAGCAGAGAGCTACGCTGCGCTGCTGCCTTCTTTTCCACTCAAACCCTTAACTATCCGTGCGTCCAGGTCTGCTCTGCACATGAAGCACAAAGGTTGCTGCTAGCAAATGGGAAGAAACAGGAAAACCGGAGGCCAGTATACAGTAATTTTTGCATTTCATCATTTGAATGAAACTCCAAAGCACTTGAAAGAACTCCATCATGGGGAATTCTGAAATTCTGAAGATTCCCAATTTTTCTGTATATGCATCTTTTACTAAACAGCTGTAAATCGAGCAGAATAGAGCCCCCAAGACCAAGATTCCATTCAATTGCAGTTCCCCAGTAACCCAGTTTGTTACCGTTTTTAGATGCCTCAAGTATTACGCATCTTCCCCCCTTGTCAAAACCGCTAAGCTCCTCTAGATGTTAAAAATTAATTCAACTCTGCAGCTAAAATAAGTATCCTCTGCAATGAAAAGTAAAAAGCCAGGGCAGGTTGCTCAATTCTGTAATAACCAAGACCAGTTTTGCTACGAAAAGGCTACACAAAGAGTCAAGCTGTCTGAAGAAGCAAAGGCTTTTCTGAAATCTGAGATTATGTTTTTGCCAGTTGAGTTAAAAAAAAAAAAAAAAAAAAAAAAAAAAAAAAAAAAAAAGAAGCGGATTTTAAGCTTCCCTCCCTTTTCTGTCCAAGATCAGTTTCAGCCTGTAAGAAACAAAACAGAGCTTTATTCTCCCTCCATCTCCGGGAACAAAGAGCTCTGCATAAGAAGGGTGTCATTTATAGCCTTTACCCCCACCAGAGTCGAACGATAAAGGCACCTTTCCCTTGCGTCAGGAAACATTTTGGCATCTCTCCCAAAAGCCATTATGGAAAGATGGGCTCCGCTCCCTAACAGCAGCTATCCTGTCACGCTCGAAGGACAGTGGCTTCGTATTTTGATTTATTTCATACAGAGTTGTAAATAATGTAATAATGCATTATTGTTAAATAATATTCTATTGGCTATATGGCAGGGGGGGCTTACTGCCATCTGTAAAATAGTACCAAACCTTTAAATGCCCAAAGAAACACTTTTATTCGCCAGATATACAGGCAAAGACCAATTCAGGAAGAATTTCCCGTTTTACAGATCACGATGCGATGCGTTTTATGGACTACGTTATTTCAGCCTGGCACCTGCAGAACAAGCAAGGTCAGAAAGCGTTTGGGAAACTGGAAGTCTTGTCAAACAGCATCTGCAGCTAAGAGAGGATAACAGCTCTTACACAGGTATTATTCTGCTGTGCTAGACAGCGATACAGCATTGTTATCCCCTCAGAACAGGCAAGACAATTTCAAGTGCCACATCTTGTAGAGATCAAGTTATTTCTGAGTGGCTCTAGATGGCCACGGAGTTATTTTCAACAATCTAGTTGGCTATGGAGTTATTTTCAACAATCTAGTGCACATTTTTGCGTGGCAGAAGCCAGAAATACTTATTGACTGGGTAATATTTAAATCCTGTTCCTAAATTGATTTATTTTTTTTTCCATCTGCAAAATGTCAACTTTAATTAAACGTTTCTATGTCCAATTCACCAAAGGTCTACTTGATTGATTTAACGCTAGACCCAACCTGCACAGAATTTGTTTTACAGGAAAATAAAACGTTCCTTTGGGTCAGCTGCTTAACATAATAGAATTACAAAAATATTCATGATGTTAACATCCAAGATAAAAGAGAATTAAACAGCCCTTTTAATCATAAGCTGCACTTACAGAATACTTCACATGTTCAAAGTACTGTGCAAACAGATCAGTCAGGTCTGAATCTGATCTCATCAAGTCATTCCTTCCGCTTCCAGAGCCAGCACAAAGTTGGTCGCTATACATTGCATATAGCAACTGCTTCAGCCAATTTCCTTCTCCCTAAAATGCAGTTTCCATCCTTATTTGGCTGGTTATCCACAGCATCTCACAGGAAGCTTTTGTCTTCTCTTCATCTCATTTTTCTCAGTTATTCCCTTCCATACCGCTTATCTCAATTCTTTAATTTCCCTGGCATCTATGCCTACAGAAGCAAACACATCGTGCCCTGAAAGTCACTCTAAAAGCCTTTTTATCTACTAAACTGAGATCTGTCTACTTACACCTCATCGACTGATGGCATTCACGGAAAAACACGCTCTCTGTCGTCATACAAATGTCTCTTGGTAATAGATAAGCAAACCAGTAATAATGACAAATGGACCACTACTACCAGTGTCATTTGCTCGCCTTTGCAGAATAAGAAACATACACAACAGCACCATAAGAATAGAAATATAAGTCGTTCACTAATCTCTCTGGTGTTTTGCTAAATCATCTTTCCCACAGCACTGAATTACATCCAGCCCATGGCTCCCAGACCAATGATTGTTTTATAAAATTCTCTGTTCTCCACACCTTGCTTTCAGCTGTTGTCCTTTCCTTCCTCCCCTTCTTGAGTTCAAGGGGAGGAAGGAAAGGACAACGGCTGAAAGGTAGTTGCCGCTGTCCTTATTCCCCAATTACCAGCTGACCCTATCCAGACCTGTCACATTCCTGCATACAGGATTTCTCCGTGCTGGGAGCACTGCAATGCTACCTTCGGCAGCCGAGCAGACTCTGGGTTTTCCCCGGCGCTTCAAAATTCCTGCATGACAACTTACCAACTGGGCTCCCCCTGGCCTAAGCCAGGAACACCCAGGAGTACTTACAACATAGCGATACCCCAGTGTTTGCCTGCTCTTTCTCCAGCAGCTTGGAAACCGGAGAGGCCGATGAGAGCAACAGTTGGCGTGATGGTCAGAGGTCCGATGTATCGCAACAGGGCGCCAGGAAGGCCAAGCAAACCGATCACCACTTCTATCAAGGAGGACATGATAATAGCACCTTGGATCTGAACACACAAGAAGGGCAAAGAGACAGTTCAGTCAAATCTTAAAAGCAACCCCCAAACATTTCTTTTTCTGCTCTGGATTACAAACTGCAGTTAAAAGAATTCAGTGACACAGAAGAACTCAGCAAATTTTTCGTCATAAAACAGCTCATTATGTTTAAGTGACTTATTGCTTAAGCATAACACTTATGGTTTTCTCCACAAAACTATTACTCAACAGACCAGTGGGCCAGTCTGGTAGTTGTGTGGATAGCACATCACACTGTCAGACAGGAGACCTGGGTTCCAGGCTAACCTTTAAGCTCTCAGATCGAACCGGCAAGGGTTGGTGGCGCCACGGAGGTGATGCTCCTAGCTCCTAGGGGCAGAGTGTATGCTGCATTGTTCACAAGTGCTCCTTAGAAGCTGGTATAGAGCAGCGTTGTGGTCTCAGGAGACTGTCAGCCCTCTTGGCTGCAGGGCTCTTGGCAGGATGTAGCTATGGTTTGAACATGGGGAAGAGAGAGGGGTTGTTTTTAATTAAGAAAAAGTTTGCAGCCCAAAGCAACGGGATGGGAGATAAATTCCATGACACACGCCTTAATTTGGACTACGCTATCTACCACTCTAGTGTGATGCCTGGGCACAACCCTCATCCTGGGCTCTGCAGAGCATGATGAAGTTCAGACTGCAGTGCTGCGAGTGGCGAAGGAGTTGGATATATTTCAGCAAGTCTCTCGGGGAAATCAGCGTCTTATCAGAATAGTCTCCAACTTAAGACACCTCGGGATGAACAGATTTGCTAACTGCATATTTACCTTCCACGGGACAGCCTACTGAACAGAGCGACAGCAGGCAGTGGTCTGGTAGCAGCTGAACTGCTACCAGTGAGCATAAATCGCAAAGTGTTACAAGAAGAGTATTCGTCCTGCTTGTGCATTTTACTGCGCGTCTTTTGGAATGTGGTAACTAACTCCTTGAATTTGCTGTCCAGCAATGAACAAGTTGAAAAGATGAAGACTTCCATGAAACGGGTTAAAGGGATATTTTCAAATGAAATCGCAGTGAAAGAAGAAATTACCAACTTAAAGACGAGAACACACAGATGGTTAGGTGAGAAACTTAACTGGAATCGGACAGATCAACAGCTAAAGGCTACTCCTACATTACCTCTCGTATTCTGGGATACCAGATGTGCTCAGTGTGAAGCAGTTCTGTCGTTCCATTTGTAACTGTTATATCTTACAAAAAGAAGAAAAACACACAGGTATTTATTCCTCAGCCACTTTGCCATCATTTAACACAAAATAAATCTCTCCTTAAGCTGTGTCTGACAAGTGAGCCTTGATTTACACAGAATAGAAGTTCTGCAATGCTACAAATCAAGTAATACCATGCTTGCATTCCCCAAGAGCTAACCACTAATCTTACCCACTGTACCAAAGTGGAAAAAAATTGTAACTTTCAGAAAGAAAGGTCAATTAGGGATTCTTTTCCCACTCCAATAAATGGATGAGTGGAGAATTACTCCACTGCACACTAGGAATCAAGTGCTCCAACGTTTGTTGTGCGCCAATTTAGGTCACTCACTGAATGATGAATTGACCCGTGGTAACAACCCCATCTGACACCTTTTGAAGGTTAAAAGGTTCAAGAGCAAGATGCAGCAAAGGCTCTTTCTGAAAAGCTGCAGTAGTGGAAAAATGGCTTTGCCATCCAAGGCTATCAGACAGTATTTTCTTTCAACATGGTGTGCATTAGGATACTGCTACATTTTGGTGCACGGAAATACCCAACGCAGCTAGCGCTACCGAAGCACACCATAGTTTGCCTTTACGTCTTGGGCACTGAAACCCACGTGCTATTTCCCAGTGGCCAAATCCAAGTCACCCCAGTGAGAAAATGCGAATGCTCAAAGCAAAGTTTTCTATAGAAAAACATCAGGAAAACGAATTAGATGGTCGTTAAGTGAATCAAAAGAGATGTATGAACACATAAATAATATAAATGATTAGAGAATCAAAAGGACCCCTGAGAAGAACTGCAGTTAGAAGCAAGCAACCTGCTTCTCTGTGCTGCTGTCTTGCACTGCCCACAGCCTTATTACTGAATAACCACACCCCACTGAAAAGAAAACTGCCAGAGCTATTTCCACTTCAGTTTTCTGACCTGAGTTAAAGAAAAAGCCCCCTACCCAACCAGTTTTACTCGAAATAAATTCAAAACCTTTCAGGATGATGAAGTTAGAGAAGAAAAAGGTAAAATGAACATCCAAACATTGCCAAGCTCTGCAACACCTCTCAGGTATGAGTCAAACAGGTAAAAATACTGGTCTTGAGGTGATGCTGAACATTGCTCAAACTTACTGCTACTCAACTGAAAGGACTTGATTGGACTTAATATTTCTAAATACCGGAAAGAAATATTTAAGGAATCCTTCTGCCTTTCTCTACATTGTTAACAAAAGAATTGTTTTATGCTACTGTTAGATTTCTTTTGTCAACATTTTTTATATAACCCCCCCCCCCCCGAATTCCACAAGGGCATTTTTAGGAATCTTTTTCCAAGACACAAAGTTTTAACATTGTTAAAGGAGAGAATTTTTCCTATTCCCTACTCATTACTTCCAGTTTCCACATCAAAAAGTATGGCAGTTGCACTGTATGTGATCTGGGTCACTTGTCACTTAAACCTGAACAAGCATAAATGGCAATTACCTGTATTATTACATTTCCACTTCTCCAGGGAGAGTATTGCTCTAGCAGGTGCTAGGAATGCAAAAGCACTCGCTTGAAACAAGGGTAACCTGGTGGAAAGGGAAAGATGAGATGCTGACATTTCTCGGTGTTACGGTCCTGTGTCAGGATATCAATTGCAGTTAGGTGGTTACTCATCCTCAAAACCATCCTTTATTGAGGGTTATTAAAAACATTAAATATGACAATTTCTTAGGAAAAAGAACTGGCATAGAAATACTAAGACTTCACAAACCAAGGACCTAACAGAAGACACTACATGCATGACCTTATTAATGCAATGCCTATAACATAATTACCGGATGCCAGCACGCAGGTACCAGACTTTGATTTCAGGTTTTGACTCAGCAGCACAAGGATAGAGATGCATGTTCTGATACAAGTACCAGCCAGACTGCTGAACGTGCAGCTTTTACCGTCCCGCCACATTAAAAAAAGCTCTTTGATAGAGCAGCACGCAGTCTGCATGCTCAATACCTTCCCTCTGCATGACTTGAAGTAGAGTCATTTGCACATTCATCTTTAAGTGTATGGGTAAATAACTATTAGGTTGGTAAGAGCTGATTAGATGTTCCAGGTGGCTACCAACAACAAAAACAAACGCAAGAATTTCAAGATGAGATTCTTAGCATTGGTGTTTATACTTCCCAAAAGGTTTTAAGATCTAAAGACCATCTACCAGCACCAACTATGTATTTATTGAATCAACAGTAGCTTGAATAACATCACAAATATCCAGATGTTACTTAACTAAAGAGAAGATGCACTTTGAACTATTCTATAAATACCGTCATTAATGGATTGTAATAAGATTCTCTTTAACAGCAGATCTCGAACTGTAACACGTGGGACACTTAATTGCTCATGCGGCTCTAGTTACTGCATCGTGTTTATAGCTGTTTTACGGCCGCAATGAAGTGCCTCGATGCCAGTGCAAACACCAGTAAAGGAAAAAGAACTAACTGTAGCAGATTCTGATAAAGATCATAAAAGGCATAAAGAAGGAAAAAAAAACCACAACCCCAACAAAAACCTGTGGGGGGAAAAAATCTTATACATGCTTAACACAAAAAAGATCAAACCAGAAGCGTGTTACTAACAGTAGCTGTAAAGTTCACAGGCAAGAAGTTAGAACAGTTGAGCTACCATTGGAAAGGAGTTTGGGCCATGAGCAATCTCAAAAGCTGACCCACCTGCTGCAAATGTTGAGAACTGCATTAGAAAGTCAAACTTCACAAAATACATGAGCCATCTGAGCACACCTGACTGGCATGCAATTTCCTTCTAAGTTTCTTGAAGCAAAAATCAAAGCTTCATCTTTGGTGAAGAAATGGTCGGGAGCTACGAGTGAATGATTCACCTTATTTTTCAAGGTTCATTAAGCAAACTGGGCAAGCTGGTGCCCATGACAAAATATGCAATACCTGTAACAAGCTGTTACTCCTCTATCCCGCCTACACAGTACTCTGTCGTGTGTGTGTCCCCCAGTGATTTTGTAAATACACATTGTAAGCACATTCTCCAGTGAGAAGTCACTTGTACTGAGACTTAGGTCCAGACCATGAGTTTTCTATCACGTAAAATACTCTGCATACATATTGCATAATAAGGTCTTCGTACGTCTCACTTCGCCATCTGCTCAACCTTCGTGAGAGACAGTTAACCTGGAATATTTACCAAAAGGGCCAGTAAGCTCAAAATATTGCTTTTTTTTTCAGTAAGCAGAATGAAAAAGTCCTTTTGTTTTTTGAACTTATTACTCAAAACTCAGCCAACTATGATCAATCTCTTTCTGAAGAACAGTTTTGGAACATGACTTACGAAATACCTTTCCGATTGCTAAGCCAGGCATTCATTACCAGCTGGGTAAAGTACCACCAGCTTATGACTGGGGTATCATCTTAATTTCACGTCTAAATTGCGAAGTTTCTCAATTTTGGCATCAGCCTTTGTGAAGACAGAGGTTTTTATGGAGTTAAAGTCATCTGGAAACGTCTTGATGCCTTAATGTCATGCAGACAATGTAGCAATGGGCATAGCAACAAACCTAAAACGTTTAGGTATATTAAAACTGCATTTGATGGTCTCAGTCATACTAATTACTCTGAATCCTTGCCAATAAATAGCTTGAATTCCAAAAATTAGTATGGGTACCGAACTGACCACAACTCCTCCTCATAATTGAGCTAAATCCATCTTTAAGGACCTTTAAACCATGGAATTTGACCTTTTGAAACCATAGTGGCTTTATTTGCTGAAATACTCTGCAGTTGATAGACTTGCCAATAAATACTTTGAAATCTCATTCAGAGAGCGTCGCTGCTATATCCCATTCCCACCCTTACATAAAACCAGAATCACATGTTAAAGAGTTATAAAACATTCAACCGCGGAAATTTTCTCCTTAAATACAAGTTCACTTATTTTAAGACCCAGATGCAATTGCATCTTCAGTCTATACACATGTTCAAGTGGAAGCCACTGAAAAGTATAAAAAGCCCCACAGAGGGCAGAGGTGGGATTATACAGAATTAACAGAGCATTTCAAACTGACGGGACCACACTGGTTTCTGCAAGAGCCCAGAATCACTCCATAGTAAGCAATAAAGAGCCCAAAATTAGTTAGGGAAAAAAAACTAAATATGACAACCGTTAGTTGTGCAAAGAGATGCAAGTCTCAGGAAGGATAAAAACAAAGCTTTTCCTGATAAATTTGAGGCAGAAGAAGCAAGCTGGTAAGATGCACAGGAGAACCAAGCTCCCCTTTGAGGTCACCTCCATCTGCAACTCTGCACTTCTTACAGAATTGGAAGGTTTTAAACTTCAGTAAATCCATGGAGGAGACGCTCAACGCTGAACAATAAAAGACCTTATCTTCCAGTTCCTGCCTGGGTCAACAGTCCCTCTTTTCCCTACTTAAAGCACAAATAGAAGATGGGGGCGGGGGGAGGGGGAGAATATACATCGCTCCCATTAAAAGAGAGATTCAAAACACCGAAGGGCACAGCTCTGCTCCTCTGCCTCTTTTCAGATGAGGTACTTGAAAATTTATGATTACGGCTAAGGCAAGCTACCCTGTGAGCACAAAGAGCCAGTCAGGCAGAAAATATAATTATTAACTGCAGGTAGTCTTGACTAAAAGAAAATACATTGGGGAAAGAGAATTTTCTCTCTCAACAATTTTCAGTATGCTGTTTTGTCATCCGAATGAACTTTTCATACAAAACAGTGGAGTGATTGTGTAAGTTTAGTAAGACATAATAATAAAAAATAAAAAAAAAAAATAAAGGGAAGGCTTTTTCTCAAGGGAAAAAAAGGCAAGAAAGCTAACTAAAGCTAACTAAAATAGCAACCAAAGATTACATTGGAAAACCTGAAATATTTGGAAAGTTTTTAGATGAAAAGCTGATCTACAACTGCAAGAGATCTACCATAGGCTTGCCTTCTGCACCCTACTGAGATCAACTTTTCCACCCCAAGATTCTGTTTCTTAGATAAATCTTTAAAAATGTGGGGGGTGTTTGTCCATTTTTGATTGGAATGCAAGATTTCAGCTCACATTGTTCTTAAATTGAACTAAACGACCCATGAATCATTCAAGTAACCATATGAGGGCACACTTAAAATATGCACTTTTCTTCTGGTTTTACTTATCACTCTTGGTTTATTCAGGAAGATGCAGAAATAACTCCGCAGGTTTTAGCTATTCCCAGTTCTCACAGGCAGAGTCAACAAAAGTTTAAGTAAACATGTCGAACATTATCTGCAGTGTTTACTGTAGAATACAGTTTTTTCAAAACAGATTTATCTTCATCTCAGTAAAAATTTACAACATCCTCTTCTTACCAACACCAGATTTTTACAAGGATTTGCTAACACCTGAATTGGTCTCTTGCATCCTCCTAATGAGAGCAGACCAAAGGAGAGGTACAGGCATCCCTCTACGCATACGTGTTTCTTCCCAACTCAAGCAAGGATCATTACCTGCAACTCAGAGCAACTAGCAAATAAAACCAAATTATTTGTCTGTATCGAGAGGTACCAGAGGCACTCAGTTCAGAGAATAAAAAGTTACCCTCATCATTTTTCCCTACCTTTTTAAATTGCCAAGCGCTTTATGGGAACAAACACACAATTTGCTGTAGGACTAATCACAACAACCTAAATATTGGCCAGAATACAGTATCGGTCAAGAACCTAATAAAAATATCAAAATTAGTTCCTCTTTACCAAGCGGTATGAGTTTTTCCTTTCCCCCTAAACCACTTCTACCATCTCTGTCCTCACGGATTTCCCCTCTCCTTATTCCCTCTCCCTGCCCCTGCTGTATTTTCTTACCCTCGGAACGCCTTCTCTGATTTCAGAACCACCTTTTTTTTCAGAGCAGCTTTCCAAAAGCTTTCCCTAACTGGCCTGTATTTAACCTGCTATCTTGTGTTTCATGTTTATCCTCTGAAAATAGACTACCTACCTCTTGGATCTTGAACTGTATCCTGGAAACAGAATCATAGAATCATTTAGGTTGGAAAAGACCTTTAAGATCATCAAGTCCAACTGTTAACCTAACGCTGACAAGTCCACCACTAAACCATGTCCCTAAGCACCACATTGACACATCTCTTAAATCCCCCCAGGGATGGGGACTCCACCAATTCCATGGGCAGCCTGTTCCAGTGCCTGATAACCCTTTCGGGCAAAAACCTCCCCCGGCACAACTTGAGGCCATTTCCCCTCGTCCCATCGCCCCTTCCCTGGGAGCAGAGCCCAACCCCCCCGGGTCCCCCCTCCTCACAGGC